GCCTTCCTTCTTCTCCTTTCTTTCTTCTTCTCCCTCTCTGGTTCGGTTCGGATATATTCTATTTTTTTATATTTATTTAAATTTTACCCCAAAACGATGTCGTTTTGGGGTACCGCATGAAGCCCCACAAGAAAGGACGGCAAAGGATCCGAACTCAAAAACTCCACCCCTACAACCCCCACATCATCCTATGTGAGATAGAGAGAGGGGGGAAAAAAACAAAAACACACATGAACCAATCACACACATTTGGAGGTCATGGGATTCTCCAAATTGGAGGTCCCAAGCTTTTTCCAAAAAATAAATTAACAAGACATTAATATTTATATGATTAAATCCCATTTATATTTCGGTGTTGTTACATGCACCAATTTATGTATACACTACACTAGTATATCAATTAGTATTATGTTATTATTACTGATCTCACTTATTATACAAATTATAAATACCTAAAACCTCTAAAATGATATCATATCATCTGTTAATATGCTAATTAGTAAATTAATTGGTACATATAGTATTATTCTTTATATTTAAAAAGTATACATTTAATATTTGATAATTTTAAATTTAAAAAAACAAATTCATTAAAACCAAGCCTAAAAATATTAAAACACAAAAAAAAATTCAATGCAGTGTAGATTTTTAAAAATAATTATAAATAAATAGTAAATTTTATATACATTATATATTAAAATTATAACTTTTTTATGAATCGGTATTAATTTATGACAATACCATTGAGGGATAATTTTTTTAAAAAAAGAATTTATATATATCAACTACTCGACATAATTAAGGGTGGTCGCGGTTTGGATTTGAGCTGTTTGCGGGTCGGTTTGGATACGCCCACACCTATACGGTTTGGAAAAAAGTCAATCCGCAATCGCCCGCAGTGCGGTTTGTGGTTTGTGCGGATAGAGTTCGCAGATGTGTGGGCAGTTGCGGGCGGTTTGCGAATTGGACTATTTTCTTTAAAAAATTATTTTTGAGCCTTTTTTTTTCTCATTTTATAAATATTTATTTTGGATCATTTTCCTCCCCATTTTCCAAAATGCTCCAACATTAATAATTGATGAATTAGAAAAACACCGATATCTAATGTATAAGACAGAAACATACTAAAGTAGTCACCCCCAATTAGTTTCTAGGAATAATGGTAAGGTTAAAAATCACAGAATCACAAGCGCCAAACTGAAAACTATATCATCAAATTTCTAACCACAGACAACTCAATATCACCTAAAAATCTAAAAAATTATAGCTTTACAACCCCCTCCTCATAGATCGGTCTAATATCACAATCATTCATTGAAAACCCAAAAATGGTAAAACAATAACCTCCACATCAATACTCAGCTTACAATTCAGCAAGTAAATATTGACAATTTACTCAATCCAATTAACAACCTCACATAAATCAGAAGATAACACACCAAAATTTTCACACATGGGCAAAAACACAAAAAATCACCTTATTATTTCTTGACAAAAATTCTTGATAAAAATGGCACATTTCATCAACCAAAAAGAAAATATTCCTAGAAATCTTTCACATACTACTCTCTTTCTGTCTCTCTATGTATGTGTGTGTACATATATTTTAAGTGTAGATAAACATATTTCTTGATCACATTACATTCAATCATAAACCACCCAGAAACATAGAACTTCCATGAAATACTCACACAAATTCAGGCCTCGTTTGGAAACCCTCATTTTTAGTCAAAAAGTTACTAAATTAACCAAAAAACCAACAACCCATACAAAAAAGTCAAAAATACTCCTTTCTCTCCACTTTTTGCACATCTTTTCGTAAAAAATTAAAAAGTCATTCCAAACATACTAGTTTTTTTTAGCTCATATTTTAGCTAAATAGCCAAAAAGTTACTAAATTAGCATATTCTCAAACGAGGCCTCAGTAATTCCCCCCAAAAGTATCTAGTACAAGACCCCAAAATATGAAGAAGAAGAAAAAAAATCAAACCAAAAAAATTCAAAATAAGAAGAAAAAAAACCCCAAAATTTTCACTTAAAGAAAAACCCCAAGACCAAGAAAGCACAAGAAAGAAAAAAAAAATCTCCAGAATAGATCATAGATGAACGGCCCAAGTTTTAAAAAAAAATTATATATTCTAAGTGTGGGTGGGTTTGTGGAGGGTGCGGTTCAAACTCGCAACCCGTCTAACTCGAAAACTTGCTATATTCCAAATCGCACCTTATCCTATTATATTTGTGAAACCTCCCATACGTGTGCGGGAAAGGCAGGTTGTACGGGTCGGATAACCATATGTCCAACCCTAGACATAACTTATAAAGCCTCTATTTGGGAAGATAGGTTTAGGGTTTTTTTTGCTAAAATAGTCACAAAAAAATAAAATAGACTTTTTAGCCTAATAAAATAAAACATCACATCCAACCCATAATCATTATATTTTTTCTCTCACAAAAGTCAAAAAAATCAAAAAAATCTATCCTAAACGAGACTTTTTAACCGCAGACTAAAATAATCAAAAAATTAAAAAGCCAACCTACTTTCCAAACGAACCCAAAATAATTGATTCAAAGACTACTATCGCACACCAAAGACTATTATGGCTTTTACAAATTCGTCAAATAACCAAGGAGTATTGTTACTTCAACTTAAAAATTAGATTTAGCTTTTCAAACTCAGTGGTAATATATTAGAATATTTAAGAAAATTTTTTATATTTTATTTAATCATTAATCAATCATCTCCTTTACACATTACTAGAACAAGAAAAATAAGCCTAAAATTAAAAAGTGAATTTATATATCATTTTCTTAACTAAATAATACAAAAATCCTAAATAAATACATTGTTGTTCATAATAAAAAAAAAATTTATGATCATCTCCATTACATAATTATAATTAACTATCTCCATTATATCATTCAGCAATTATGAAAATATTTTTTAAAAAAAATTAAAATAATGATAAATTATTGTTCCTAATTCATTGTCATTGAAAATATAATGGAAATTACAATTGTGTAATGGTGTATTGACCACTTCACTTTCATAACTAAGGTGTGGTTTGGCAATAAGCTAAGTATTGTGTCATATCAATTTTCTATATTTTTGTACAACTTTTAGCCTCCGTTCGAAAAATGGGTTGTCTTTTTGATTTTTTTGACTATTTTAACATGGGTTAAAAAACTTAGTTTGAAAATGACTTTTTAGTTTTTTTGATTTTTTTGTGAGAAAATAGTTTAATGATTATGGGTTAGATGTGATGTTTTGTTTGTTGTGGCTAAAATAGTTTATTTTGTCTTTTATGGCTAAAATAGCCACAAAAGCCCTTCCCAAACCACCCTTTAGTTCATTACAAATAATTAACACAATATCTCATAATTTTTTCAGAACAAAAATCTTTTAATTAAATATATATATATATATATATTGTCTTAATTAAATAAGAAAATAACATAATTAAAAGTGCATATATACACATTATAATATTAACATGTTAGCTGTGATATTATTTTAGTTATGATTCAAAAGTCTTCTAATTATCTTTGATTTATAATCATTAAAGTATTTTTTTATGATAAAAAAATTATTTTATTAGATCTCGTGTAGCAGAGGCACGTGAGACTCACGGGGTCACGTACCCCTTAACTTTTGAAAAATTATTATTTTGCCTCTAATAAGAAAAATTAAGTTTAACCCTCTTAAGTAATATCTTGAAATTTTTATATCACCATTTTCTTTATCTTTTTTTTTTCATTTATGAAAACATTTAATTTGTCACTTTAATGATGCCAAAAAAATTTCCTATAAAGTTTATATTAGAGAAATGTTATGTATCACCTTCTATACGATAGATAATTATAAAGTTTAATTTTTTGTCACTGTTTTTGTATCACCTTTTATACGATAGATAATTATAATATATTGGCATATAATTCAGTGATTCAAAAATGTGAAAAAAAATTGGTGATATATAATAGCCTCAGTATATTGGTTATGTTTGGCATAGGCTACTTTGGCTATTTTAACCACAAAAATGCAAAATATTAAAAAGTCAATAAGACAAAATGTCATATTCAAACCATAATTATTTTATTTTTTCTGTCACAAAAGTCAAAAAAGTTAAAAAAATCCATTGCAAATGAGATTTTTTATCCTCGGGCTAAAAAAGCCAAAAAAAACCAACTCACATCCCAAACGAAGGCATTATTTATTATTTAACTTTCTCTCATTTCTTTTTCTATTCTTCTCCATATCTCTTTTTTGTATGTGCATCTTAACATAATTTTGTTGTCATATTTTATGAGGACATATATTTATTTTTTAAACTGTGATGATCATCATACATAAAATAAATTAATAACAATAAAGTTAATGATTGATTAACTCAACTTTATATTTAAATATAACTTTGCATCGCACTAATTTTTAGTCTATCATCAAATAAAAATTAATAAATTAAGTTGAATTATGATTTTTGTTAAAATTCAATTTAATGGTGTCTCTTCGAACCAAAATCTTGGCTCCACCTTTGATTCCTATAGAATTAAGTTATAAGATTTATAGTGATCAACTTCACAAATGTTACGCATATTATGCATAATTTTAATACAAATATATATATATATATATATATTTTGCATGTCTCATAATTTATTGTTATTTCTTATGTGGATATATTTTTGGAAAATTCAAATACACACCCTTTTAAAAAATGTGTACAATATGCACTTTTAATTATGTTATTTTCTTATTTAATTAAGACAAATTTTTTTTAGTTATGATATTATTTTAATTATGATTTATGAGTTCCTTAGTTATATCTTGTATTATATTTAATTATGATATTTTTTCAAAAAATTAAAATTATATTATTTTTTTTAGTTATAAGATTAAAAGGTGTGAACTATAATATTTTTTTATTCAAATTATAATGCATTATGTGTGAATGCGTAAGTATAGTATATATAATTTCCAAATAAGCATAACTAGCCGAGGGGGCATGGAATAACTTCATCGCGGACCTCCCCCATTTCTCTATCGTTTTAACTCTCTCTCAACAACAAAACCAGCAGAGAAAGAAAAGCACATAAAGTGTGATTGTTTTATAGAGAAAGTGAGATTCGAGCATTTTTAATCCATTAATGCATATCTGAAACAAAGCGTGAACGGTTACTTTTCACAGATTCCTTCTCAAAAACTGCGAGTCTCCTCTCACTCCACCTTCAAATTCACCCAATCAACCACGCACGCACAAACAAACTCATCATCCTTTCTGTTTGCCATTTCTTTGCTTTCTTCTCTCTAGAATTATTAGTGACAGAAAGCGATGGAGCTTAGTAAGCTTACGCTGGAGATCTTCACAATGCTTGAGCAGAAGTGGCTCTACCACTGCCAAGACAAGAAGACCAGAGTTCTCAGCATTGACGGCGGCGGAACCACCGGCATTGTAGCCGGAGCCGCCTTGATTCACCTCGAAGATCAGATCAGATCTAAAACCGGCGATTCTCACTCTCGCATCGCCGATTTCTTTGACATCATTGCAGGTACCGGAATCGGCGCTCTCTTCGCCTCATTGCTGATCGCCGATGACGGTAACGGACGTCCTCTATTCACGGCTAGGGACGCCGTCAAATTCATTACCGAGAATCAGTCGAAATTGTTTAAGCTCGAGTGCGTCGGTGTTTTACGCCGGCGACGAAGGTTTTCCGGCGAGAGTATCGACAAGGTGTTGAAAGAAGCGTTGAGGAGAGAAGACGGTAAGGTGTTGACGTTGAAGGACACGTGTAAGCCTCTCCTCGTTCCTTGCTTTGATCTCAACAGCTCTGCGCCGTTCGTTTTCTCTCGAGCCGACGCGTCCGAGTCGCTTAGTTACGACTTCGAGCTCTGGAAAGTGTGTCGTGCGGCGTTAGCGACTCCGCCAATGTTCAAGCCGTTTAGTTTAACGTCCGTTAACGGAAAAACCTCCTGTTTGGCCGTTGACGGTGGCCTCGTCATGAACAACCCCGCCGCCGCCGCCGTGACCCACGTTTTGCATAACAAACGTGACTTTCCCTCCGTTAACGGCGTCGAAAACCTGTTAGTCCTCTCGTTAGGTAACGGTTCGTTAAGTAACCATTCGCAACTCAAACTCCGTGATAACAGTGACTGTTCTATGTGTTCCGTTGTGGACATTGTTCTTGATGGAGTCTCTGAAACCGTCGACCAAATGCTCGGAAATGCCTTTTGTTTCAATCCTATGGACTACGTCAGAATTCAGGTAATTAAGTCGCTGTTTGGCAATTTTTTTTTTTTTTTCTTTTCCCAGTAAGTACAAAAAGATAAAATATCTTAAATTTAAGACAAGTGGGGGTGTTTAGTAGAGATTATGAAAGCAATTTATAACTTATTTTAATATGAGTGCTGTTGTTAGATTGTTTGGTATAATTTCTGTTTATAGTAGATAAAAATAATTTAAATAAGTTAAAAAAATTAATTTTTCAGAAGTTAAGTTAGGGATGCCTTTAACTTCTGTTTTTTGATTATCAGTTTTTAACTTAAAATGATCTCCACCAAAAAATATTACACCCGAATCAAAATTATTTTATTTTTTCTGTCACAATAATCACATCCAAATAAATAAATAAATAAAAGTCAAGAAATTTTCTCAAACAAAACTAATTTAACTAAACTAAATTAATCAAAAAATAAAACTAAATTAGTCATTTTCAAACGAAACCTAAATCTCAGAATTAATTACATCAAAGAGTCACTAAATTAGTGAGGCGTTCTACAAGAAATTTGACATCAAAACACAATTTTGGTGGAACCTACTAACTCGTTTAAATATATATATATATATACAAGCTTTGTGACAGTTTGCATTATCACCAAAATTTTCCTAAATTATCAGTGCATATTACTTTACTTTCTTTATTTATGAATTTGTACATATTGTTGACTCAATTATAAAAAATTTACAAATATATTGTTTTAAATGTGATTTAGAGAGAATGCAAGTGATACATTTTAACTATTTCAAAATATACAATGTTTTTTTAATATACTTTTAGATTGAAAAATATATGAATGAAATAGTTATTCGTTAATAATTGAGAAATCTTCGTGCAAACTAGCCATTAAATCTCACTATTAGGTCCCGTTTGTTTTCCGCTATCACAGTCCACTCCGGATTGTGATAGATAAACAATAACCATAGGTCCTGTTTGTTTTGATTTTGGGCTCCGGATTCGTAGTCCGAAATGACTATGGATAGACCTTGGTGAGGGTATCAGTAATCCGGAGTGGAAAATGGTATTAGCAAAGTAGTCTATTCGGATTGGGCGTTACTGGACGTTCGCCCGGTCAACCGGTCAACTTAATTTTTTTTTTTTTTTTACTTGTTGGACATTTTTTTTTAAACATTAATGTTGAATTTTTTTATCAAGTAAAAATCATAATTTTATTTGTTTTATTATTTTATATAAAAATAATTTAATAATCTCCATACTAACAACTATTATCAAAACAAATACAATTTTACTAATTCCCTCTCTATCAATCTCATCCATTCTATCTTTGAAAACAAACGGGTCTTAGTATATTATGTAGATTTATTTTTATTTTTTTTATATTACTATTATTAAGCAGAGTGATTGACGGCGTTAAATGTGCAGGCAACAGCCAATTACGAGACGGGAGAAGAGGGACCAAGCATGGAGCTGGTGTTGACACAGAGAGGAGTGGAGTCGTTGCCGTTTGGCGGGAAACGGTTGCTGACGGAGGCTAATGGACAGAGAATCGACAACTTCGTGCAACGACTTGTTGCTTAGGAGGCCGCCGTCACTCCCCTGGATAACGCCCATTACTTTTGTCTCTTTTCTTTTATTTTTTTTCGAAGGCAAATTTTTATTTTAGTTATGTGGTTTTGACCATGTGTGCGTAATTAATAAACATTTAACCTCTTGTATTAGTAGATTAAAGTGCATCCTTGTATTTAAGTAATTTTATTGTGCAAATTAAGAAAGTTTTTTTGTTATTTTTAGGAGTGTAAAATTTACTTTAATTTTATATTATTGTGAAATATCTTTTGCAAAGATGAAAGACGATTATGACATTGAATGACCGATTAGCCTATAAACCTAAAAGGTTATTTTATGTCATAATTGTAATTATTCATCTTTCATCTTTACAAAAGATGTTTTCACAATGCTTGACATTTAGAAATAAAAATATCTATCTATCTATATCTATACTATATATATTAAGTAAAAGAGAGTTTTTAACCCCAAGTCTTGTGGGAGCTCCAATCTCCCAATCTAAATTTCCTGATTTTTTCATTTAAAAAAAAAACCTTTGCATTTATTAAATTCTCCCAACTCTCAAGTCTTACCCTCATAATAACACTTTAATGCATTAAGAACAAGTATAAAAAAAATTCTTTGAAATCCAACACATATGAATTCTTTGAAAAGTCCCAACACATATGATTATTATCTCTCATAATAACACTTTAATACATTAAAGTCAAGCATAAAAAAAAATTTCTTGAAAAGTCCAACACATATGATTATTATCAAAATATTAAACTTTAATATAATATAATAATTAAAAAAAGACATTTAATTTTTTGAAAAATCCAACACATGATTATTATCAAAATATTAAACTTTAATATAATATAAAAAAAGAAAAAAAGAAGACATTTAAAAAATAAATAAAAAAAATTAAAAATTACAATTCACATATATAGATAATTGTAAACACAATCCGTGCATAGCACGGGTGATATGCTAGTATTATATTATATTATATAAGGAAAAGAGAGTTTCTAACTCACAAGCCTTGTGTGAGCTTTAATACCTCAATATTAATTTCCTAATTTTTTTATTTAAAAAAAAAAAACTCAGCACTTGTTGACTTCTCTCAAGCCTTTTTGACTTCTCACATACACATCATTTTCAACTTCTCCTATACCTATTTAATTATTTTGGAAATAATAATTATTTCCCTTTTTCAACTTTTCTCATACCTATTTAATTATTTTGGAAATAATAATTGCCCACTAACTTATGGATTTCAAATGGAAAGATAACAAAAATATTTCATAATCTCTCCATTGTAATTTCTCTCATCGATTTTCAAAAGAAAATATTAAAATTTGCATTCTTTTTCTCTTCTTCAAAAAATCAGATAATACTTTTTTATGAAAATTGTGGATATCTATCTATATCTTATATATTATATTTTAACATAACCCAAAAAAATAAAAATAAAAATCAGATATACAAACAGATAAAATTAATAAATATGATTTTTATTTATTCAGTTGAAATATATTTTTTACCTCTCAATATCCAATTTTAAATTTTAAAAATCTTTAAAGTCTATCTAAACAAATCTAATTTGATAATATGTAATACCATCATATTTTAAATCAATAAAACTCATATGTTAGTTTATCACATATCTAACTTACATCATAACTTACCTAAATAATAATAATTAAAAACAAATAAAAACTATAGATAAATTAAATTTTAAAAAAAATAGAAATCCACAACTCTATCTTAAATAAATTGAAAAAAAATAGAAACCATACAAAAATAAATAAGATAAGAATTTAGATATAGATCTCAAAAATATATGATAATATCTAAATTTGAATTGTGATTTAATAATATAATTATCTATTTTTTGATGTACATCTATCAAAATTTAAAATCACTTAATGGGACAAATTAATCAATTTTTAAGTCCTATTTAAAAAATAATCTGATTAGTCATTCTAACTCCTAGACTTCGCGAGCATTTGCAAAGAAGCTAACAGATTAGGCGGGGTGAGAACTAAGTTGTTGGGAATAATATTCCACCACTCCATAAATTTATTTATTTTTTAATTTTATTTTTTTTCCTGTGTGATTCTCTTTCTCTATTGTTGATTTGGTTTTAGTTTTGATTTTAGTAAGATTTATGTGTTTGTTTACAAGGTTACATGATGGAGAAGAATTATTGGTGATAATGATTGCAATCGAAGTATCGATGCCTATTTTGTGCCAAGAATTTTATCTGATTTTGTTTTTTTCAATGAAAACCATAAAATTGAAGTAAAAAAATGGATATCGAAATTTTTTTTTTATTGTCATTTTATTTTATAGAAAATGTGAACATTTATTGGGAATTCAAGATTGTATTATAACATTAGATTTTTGTACAACTAGGTAGATTTAAAACTTTTAAATATCATTGTATTTTTTATTTTTATCCTCTTTATATCCTATTATACCATTACTACTATTTGTTAGTTTGTTAATCATAATTCAATTAATTGAAAATGAAAACTTAGTATAACTTTTCATATATATTAATTAATTTATTATAGCTATATTTGTATATAAGAGCATAATATATATGAATAATTTCCAAATATAAATTCTATTTTTTTATGTGATTAAAATAGTCCATCTTAAAATTGTATATAGAGGACTTAGATGATTTCTTTTATCCCAAAAAACCCAATCAAATTTTTTTTTTCACTTTTTAATTTTTTAAATTAAAACATCAGTTGTTTATGTCCACGAAACAAAATTGATAAACAAATACCCATATGCTACACTTTTTTTTTCTTTTTTTATTTTATTTTTTCTCTTTTTTAATAGGTATGATATTTACAAATGAAAATTGTTTGACACCTCAAAAAACTTTCCATAATCCGACTTATAATGATGTGGTCGTAAGTGTCAATTTTTATACAAATATGAGAAGAGAATTAACCAAATTATACATTTCAACTAACTACACACTACAACAAAAACATACTTTAGTGGCACTACACTAGTGGCATATTTTTAGAAAATGCCACAAAAAATGATATTTAGTGGCACATTTCATGTGGTGCTATAGAGGTGTAGTGGGAAGAGTGTGGTGTATATGGTTTATGGTGCGGAAGGTTGGCGGTTCGAGTCTCCGCAAGAGCGGATCAAATTGTTCTACAACGAATTATTGTCATGATTGGCACTTTATAGCGTCACGAATAGTGCCTACCATGACATTAAAGTGTCACTGAAAGGTTTTAGTCTTGATGGTGTAATGACACTTACAAGTGTCACTAACTCTTTTTTTAATGGCGCTTGATAGTGCCACAAATAATATCTACCATGACATTAAAATGTCATTGAAAGTTTTTAGCCATGATGGTGCAGTGACACTTGCAAGTGTCTACCGTGGCACTCGTATCTACCGTGGCACCGATAGAAGTGGCACTTGTTCAAAATGCCACAAGACCAAAAAATGTCATTAGAAGAATAGTTTTGTGGCACTTTCAAATGTCACTAAACTAAGAAAATGTTGTAGTGACATACTCAAACTTTCACTATTTCAAGATGTTATTTTATTAGAATTCTAATTAAGAGAATTTTCAACCCTTAATATTTTTTTATCGAATTATAATTTGATAAAATTTAAAAAGATAAAGTGTTGGAAATTATTATTTTTTTCCATCAAAATTGATGAAAAGAAAAAAAAATGAGACAACAATGAAAGTTCTTTTAAAAATTGATAAAAATTTAATGAAAAAATTAAAGTAATTCATATCAAATCAACTATTTTATTCAAATTTAAAATCAAATTAGATAAAAATAAAATAAAAGAAAATGATGAAAGGTTGGAAATATTCTAAAACCTTTTTATTCTTAAAGACAAGAAATTCGTGTGGGTGTCATATTCATATTGTATTTTTAGTTATGAAATTAAAACCAAAAGAAATGTAACTTAAATTATTGGATTAATAACAGAAACATCATATCAATTATTGTTAAATATCACTACACTTCGCATTTAATAATAAAATTATATATTTGTCTTAATTATAATTTTTAAATTTGTCTATTTTCATAACAAGAAGAAGTATATCATAACTCACGTAACCTCATTTAATTAGGTTTAACTTCTTTTTTTAATTATAAATTATCAAAATTGCACTAAATAGATTTATATATATATATTTTAATTTTTTTAAACTAATAACTTAAAAAGTTGTAAACATAAAAATTAACTTATAAATTTCATGTATACCACAAGACAAAATATTAAATTACTTCAACATATTTATAATGAATTTTTTTTTTTTTCAATTGATAAAGTCCCATGCATATCATGTGTTACCACTAGTAACACTCTTAACATGTGCTTAACACTCAATTTATTTGGACAGAATGTTTGATAATGCACTTAAAGTTGGAACAATCTTCTGTGTAAATAAAATAACTTAAAATAATTCAAACAAAGTAAAATAAAACTTACAGAATTTATTTTGTTGAACCGAATCAATAATTTAAAGACCAAGTCGAGTGTGTGACACTCTGTCCTTAAGATAGATTCGCCCCGCTACGGTACTTACGGTTATGTGGCGTCTATCTCCCAGGATACAATGATCTTCACAAATTGTAGTAGCACTCCAAACAATTTATTCGGCGAACCAAACCTATGTTCTAACTCTCTGAAAATTACCCTAAAATAATATGAAGAATAAAGGACGCAAGAGAGCAAAATGAAGGCAAGGAAAATGAATTTTCAGAATCAATCAAAATTGAA